CTTTCCTCACAGTCTTTTGGCAACCTGTTTTTCCGAAATCATTTTTTAAGTCCAAAGCCAATTGTACAAGGGTTGTTGGCGGGTTTTTATCGATCTGTATCAAAATTTTAGAATGGTCTCGTCTGGAGAGCTTTGGTGGTCTGCCTGTAGAATTGTACAGGTGGCGTCTATTTTTCTTTTCACAAACTGTATGTCCTACTTAGGATGGCGAACGGTACAATATTGAAATCGCTGAAAACCTGTCTTCTGGCCACAATCACAAATATGTTTTTACAACTTCCTTTTACAATATATATTTAAGTAACACAAGTTTGCAGACTTTTATTTTCGTTTTCTGGAAATGCCCATGTTCAAAATGAACATTAATATTAATTAATTAATAATAATTAATTATTAATTTATAAACATTTAAGAATAGAAATTTATTTCAATTTTAAATGAAAAGCTTTTCATTTGTTTTCATCGTATTCTTTTTTCAGGTTTTAAGGGAATAAAAAAATTTAAAAATGATTGGAAAAAGGCAAATGCGTAGGTTAGTTAAGAAAGAGCAGGATAAAATGAAAGAAAGAATAGGACTTGCAGCAGCTGCAGGAACCTCCAATTATATAGAACTAGGAGACCTAGAAGAAAATATAGAATTTCAAAATGTAGAAGTAGAAGACATTTTAAATGTTGAGGAAGGAATAGATGCAGAAATGGCAGATGTTGGCAAAGAAAATGATTTAAATGCCGAATTAAAAGAATGGTATTTAAGACATAAGCCTACAAGAAATTGTGCGACAGATTTAATAAATATTCTTAATCGTCACAATTTAAAAATAAAGCCATTTTATAGATTTAATTGCAGTAATAAACCTGATATTATGCAAATAAATGGGGGCTCTTATTTGCATATCGGTTTAAGCAAACAGTTAGAAAAAATTGCAGCTTTAGAAGATATACCAGAATACCTAAGTATTGATGTCAATATTGACGGACTTCCGTTATTTAATAGTTCTCGTGCCCAATTGTGGCCAATTTTAATTCGAATTAATAACATTCGAAATCTTCCTGTTCTGCCAATAGGTGTTTTCATGGGGTATAACAAACCTCTTAATAGTGATGAATTTTTAAGTAAATTTATCACCGAGTTGTCCGATATGATCCAGAATGGGGTCACTCTATTAAATAAAAAAGTATTTCTTAAGCTTAGGTCAATTATTTGCGATGCTCCTGCAAGAGATTACGTGACAGGCACTCCTGGTCACACATCCAACCATGGATGTACAAAGTGCTTGCAGGTTGCAACAAAAATTAATTCAATTTTAACGTTTAGCACAAAGTGTGAGGATACAATTTCCGACGAAGATTTTCGTACCAGAAAGTATCCTAGCCATCACACTTTGAAATATTTAAATGATTAGTCAGTCCGCTTTTGAAAAACTTGGAGTTTCAATGGTAACACAAGTTCCTCTTGATTGCATGCATCTGGTCGAACTAGGTGTAATGCGAAAATTTTTATATAGATTGTATAATAACAAAGTTGCAGCAAAATTGAGCAACATTGAAAAGGGAACTGTTTCAAAAACATTGACGTCAATAAGTAGGTATATTCCAAAAGTGATTGCACGCAAGCCGAGAACCTTGTTGGAGCTCCCAAACTGGAAGGCCACAGAATTCAGACAGTTTTTATTGTATACTGGGATTATAGCTCTTAAGGATACAATAAAAAAGATCATTTTTATGCATTTTTGCTTTTGCATTGTGCATATACATTGCTCTGCTCTGAAAAACAAGGGCCTCAAAATATTAACATTTCTCAGGAAATGTTAAATGTTTTTGTTGAACATTTCCCTTTGATTTTCGGCGAGAACAGTGTTTCATACAATGTTCACGGCTTGCTTCATTTAACCGATACAATCAAAGTAGTCGGAGATCCGATTAATGGTTCGTCTTACGCCTTTGAAAATTATTTGCAGACCCTAAAGCGTTTTGTCCGAAAACCCACACAAATTCTAGAACAAATATACAGGAAAATTTGCGAAGAGAAATTAGTGAAAAAAGAAGAGCAACACATTAAAATAGAAGGCCGAATTTTGAAATTAAAAGGTTGTCAGCTTAGCGGGAAAAGTCTCGATAATTTTTTTGTTCAGGATATAGTTCCTATTAAAATAGATTCCTTCGTTGAAGAGGAGGGAGAAATTATTATTATAGGAAAAAGATTCTCTGAGCTCTTTAGTTTTTATGATGAGCCAATAAGCTCCTTTGATGTGGGTATATGCGAGGGTATTTTAGAAGAGGATTCCGCTTTAGAAAAGTTTTCTGTAACTGATTTTTGTAGGAAAGCCATTGGAATTCCTCATAAAAATAAGATAGTTTTAATACCCTTGCTGCATTATATTAGGCTTTTATTTCAATGGGAGGTGTTTAGTCCGTAGGCGTCTTATAGGACGAATCGGGCATATATAGAGCGAAATCGTTCTATATATCATTAAAATATTCACCTTCCCGGTTCAGAAACCGAAAAAAACCTTACCTAGGTATTATTATTTATTATTTATAATTTATAATTTATAATTTATAATTTATAATTTATAATTTATAATTTATAATTTATAATTTATAATTTATAATTTATAATTATAATTTATAATTTATAATTTATAATTTATAATTTATAATTTATAATTTATAATTTATAATTTATAATTTATAATTTATAATTTAATTTATAATTTATAATTTATAATTTATAATTTATAATTATAATTTATAATTTATAATTATAATTTATAATTTATAATTTATAATTTATAATTTATAATTTATAATTTATAATTTATAATTATAATTTATAATTTATAATTTATAATTTATAATTTATAATTTATAATTTATAATTATAATTTATAATTTATAATTTATAATTTATAATTTATAATTTATAATTTATAATTTATAATTTATAATTTATAATTTATAATTTATAATTTATAATTTATAATTTATAATTTATAATTTATAATTATAATTTATAATTTATAATTTATAATTTATAATTTATAATTTATAATTATAATTTATAATTTATAATTTATAATTTATAATTTATAATTTATTATTTATTATTATATTTATTATTATTTATTATTTATTATTTATTATTTATTATTTATTATTTATTATTTATTATTTATTATTTATTATTTATTATTTATTATTTTATTTATATTTATTATTTATTATTTATTATTTATTATTTATTATTTATTATTTATTATTTATTATTTATTATTTATTATTTATTATTTATTATTTATTATTTATATTATTTATTATTTATTATTTATTATTATTATTTATTATTTATTATTTATTATTTATTATTTATTATTTATTATTTATTATTTATTATTTATTATTTTATTATTTATTATTTATTATTTATTATTTATTATTTATTATTTATTATTTATTATTTATTATTTATTATTTATTATTTATTATTTATTATTTATTATTATTATTTATTATTTATTATTTATTATTTATTATTTATTATTTATTATTTATTATTTATTATTTATTATTTATTATTTATTATTATTATTTATTATTTATTATTTATTATTTATTATTTATTATTTATTATTTATTATTTATTATTTATTATTTATTATTTATTATTTATTATTTATTATTTATTATTTATTATTTATTATTTATTATTTATTATTATTATTTATTATTTATTATTTATTATTTATTATTTATTATTTATTATTTATTATTTATTATTTATTATTTATTATTTATTATTTATTATTTATTATTTATTATTTATTATTTATTATTTATTATTTATTATTTATTATTTATTATTTATTATTTATTATTTTATTTATTATTTATTATTTATTATTTATTATTTATTATTTATTATTTATTATTTATTATTTATTATTTATTATTTATTATTATTATTTATTATTTATTATTTATTATTTATTATTTATTATTTTTATTTATTATTTATTATTTATTATTATTATTTATTATTTATTATTTATTATTTATTATTTATTATTTATTATTTATTATTTATTATTTATTATTATTATTTATTATTTATTATTTATTATTTATTATTTATTATTTATTATTTATTATTTATTATTTATTATTTATTATTTATTTATTATTTATTATTTATTATTATTATTTATTATTTATTATTTATTATTTATTATTTATTATTTATTATTTATTATTTATTATTATTTATTATTTATTATTTATTATTTATTATTTATTATTTATTATTTATTATTTATTATTTATTATTTATTATTTATTATTTATTATTTATTATTTATTATTATTATTTATTATTTATTATTTATTATTTATTATTTATTATTTATTATTTATTATTTATTATTTATTATTTATTATTTATTATTTATTATTTATTATTTATTATTTATTATTTATTATTTATTATTTATTATTTATTATTTTATTATTTATTATTTATTATTTATTATTTATTATTTATTATTTATTATTTATTATTTATTATTTATTATTTATTATTTATTATTTATTATTTATTATTATTATTATTTATTATTTATTATTTATTATTTATTATTTATTATTTATTATTTATTATTTATTATTTATTATTATTATTTATTATTTATTATTTATTATTTATTATTTATTATTATTATTTATTATTTATTATTTATTATTTATTATTTATTATTTATTATTTATTATTTATTATTTATTATTTATTATTATTTATTATTATTATTTATTATTTATTATTTATTATTTATTTATTATTTATTATTTATTATTTATTATTTATTATTATTATTTATTATTATTATTTATTATTTATTATTTATTATTATTATTTATTATTTATTATTTATTATTTATTATTTATTATTTATTATTTATTATTTATTATTTATTATTTATTATTTATTTTTTTATTAAGCTTTATTATGAGTTCTCCAGCTCCTAAGAAGTTCTCAATGGATAATGTTATGAGCCGTAAGTATTCACAGGCTGGCAAATCAGCATGTTCTATGTATATGTCTCTGATATTTTAGTAAATATTGATTTCGTTTGTTTCTACAGAGAACGATGCCTTATGGGAAAAAGTTGATAGTATTTTATAAAGTTTATTTAAAATTTTTAATAATTATTACATATCACAACATTTTAATCATTAAGGTCAAAAGAAAGATGCGAAGGAGATGCGGGAGGATGTGGAGGTTATTAAAACTTCCCTTGCAGCGATGACGGATGCCATCGGTTCCCTAACGGCCTTTGTGAAGGTCGTTTTCACGGAAAAGGCGCAGGACAAGAGTTCTCTGGAGGTCTCATTTCCTCTAAAAACGGAAGAAGACCTCCAGAAAACGGATTCCTTAATAAATGAGGAATCATTGCCGAAACTTGTAAGTATTTCTTAACATTTAACCTTTTGTATATATTTTTTTCTTTTTAGACTAAGACGATGGTAGATATATTGAGGAAGGGAAAGGTAAATAAAACAATAAAAGATATCCTAGGCGAAGGAATTTACTTAGAGTACAATATAGATGGTGCGAAGAGTAAAAAAAGCCTTCGAGACCATAAGAAGTTTTACTCTGCACTCTTAGGTAATTATGTATTTTTTTTTTAGATTTTGATTTCGATTAATTTTCCATATTTTCCTTTTTCAGATGCAATGTATGTTAAGCCCATCTATGTTAAGCCCATCTATGTTAAGCCAATGTATGTTAAGCCCATCTATGTTAAGCCTATGTTAAGAGATGTTAAGATCATGTGAAACAGGAGAAGTAGAACATTCGGTTGCGTGGAGTGAAATAAAGAAGTACGAATTAAAACGCTCGGTTATACCTGCCACAAATTCAGAAGTGGGATAAATCTACGAAATGTACGAAATTAATTTAAACAGTTTTTCGGTCATCCAGCTGAAAAGGTGGCTATCAGTGTTGGGGCTGCCAACCCAAGGTGTTAAAGCTGAACTGATGGCGCGTCTAGGGCAAATACCACCTGAGCAACGAGGTCAAGTGCCAGAGGAGGAAGCCTGCCAGATAATTTTAGAGGATCAGACCAGCACCTCCAGCACCGGACCCCAACAGGTCAACACAGAGACGGGAAATGCAACCCAATCGTTGCAGGAAAGTGATGCCGAAAGTTTTCCAGACCAAGAGTGCTGGCCACACTCGTTTCGCAGGAAAATGCGTTGCAACAAGCAGAAGCTCGTGGCGCCGCTCAGCAACAACAATTCGAAGAACTCAGCACCATTCAACGAATTCAAATGGAACAATGAGAGACGCGCGTCGCAATACAGGCGCGACAACAAGGCGCCGAAAGCCAGCAACAACATCAACAGCCAAGCTGCGGTACTGACGGCGCCCAGGAAGACAGACGCCATGCCGGGGCTAGACCACTCTCTTTTGCCAAGGAAGCGGCCATCGATTTCGAAGGCGACATTTGCGCTCGAAACTGGGTGGATCACCTCAGGAACCTCGGTCAGATTTACAATCTTGACAGCGACAGTCTGCGGATGTTGCTCGTCAACAAACTGAGAGGCAACGCACAACGCTGGCTGCATGCCAACCCTACACGAATGCTGGATTCGTTTGAACGGTTGTGCGAGCAACTGATCGTGGCTTTTGGTGAAACGGCGTCTAAAGCAGAGCGTCGTCGGAAATTTGAGCAACGCAAATGGAACAGGGATGAGCGTTTCACCATGTATTTTGAAGAGAAATTAATGATGTCCTAAACCATCAACATGGACACAAAGGAGCTACTCGAGCATCTTATCGACGGAATCGCAACGGCGAGCTTGCGTGATCAAGCCCGCATCCAGAGATTCGCTGATCCTGAGCAAATGCTGCTGGCATTTGCCAACGTGCGCCTTCCACAAGCCGGAAACTATGCTACGAAGAAGTCGACACCGGAGACGTCGGAGGCCAACAACTTGCGCTGTAAGAACTGCAACTCCAAGGGCCATTTTGCGAAGGACTGTCGAAAACCATCAAGGCAACCAGGATCCTGCTATGCTTGCGGTGAGATGGGCCATTTCGTAGGAGAATGCCGCCAACGGAAAAGTAACAACGGCAGCAACGTTAACAACTACGTAAGAAGATTAAGAATTTTTTTATTGATTTTACTGAACCCATTATTGCAAAATGCCTCATAGACTCAGGAAGCGCGATATCTTTCATTAAGCAATCCAAACTTCCATCTAAAGTATCATTGGAAAACGTGAACGAAATTTATCATGGTTTAAACAAGAGCCGACTTGAAATTTTTGGAAAAACTCTGTTACGTTTTAAAAGGAAAAATAAAAATTAAATTTGAAATTATTGTCGTCGCTAATGAGTCAATGAAACACGATGCAATCCTAGGAAGGGATTTCATGGATCATTATGGTTTGAGCATAAATCTAGGCACCCTTGGTATTGACGGAGATTTTAATATTAGCAATGAAGGCACCTATGATTTGAACACGCGTTCAGAGGAAAATCATCAACAAATAGCAACTGCCGTAGTACCCAATTGCGATTCCAGCGAAAATATTAATGGAAATGAAACTGTTAGAGAGAAACTATTGGGAAATGAAACTGTTAGAGAGAAACTATTGGGAAATGAAACTGTTAAAAAGCAACTGTTAGGAATTGAAACTGTTAGAGAGAAACCATTAGGAAATGAAACTGTTAAAGAGCAACTGTTAGGAGATGAAACTGTTAAAGAGAAAATGTTAGGTTGCGAAGAGAAGATATTAGAAAATAAAACTGTCAAGGAAAAAGCGTTGATAAACTCAACTGTTATGGGAAAATTTTCGAAAAAGGAAACTAGTAGCGGAAAGAACATAGAAAGTGAACCACATACAAGAAACATTCAAGGCTTTGATGAGATGCCGCAGATTGAAAGGACAGACAACTTTGAAAACGAAATGTTGAACATAAACGTAGTCGATGATCAGTTTTTAGACTACAGCTGTGGGTGTGATGTAAACTATGAAACAAAATGTAGATTTGTCCAAATGTTCGAAGAATTTTATGTCAAAGCAAAGAGACCAGATGCCCCTTTTACCAAATGCGAAATGAAAATTAGTTTAGACAATTCTAAACCTTTCAGTTGCTCACCCAGACGGCTTTCTTTTAGTGAGAAGGAGCAGCTTCAGAAGCTGCTGGACGAATATTTAGACATGGGCATAATAAGAAACAGTGATTCGGAATACGCTTCTCCTATTGTGCTGGTAAAGAAAAAAACAGGAGATTTGCGTTTATGCATCGACTATCGAAAATTGAATAAAGTTTTAATAAAGGACAATTATCCGTTGCCTTTAATAGACGACCTTTTAGACAAATTAGTGAATAAAAGTGTATTTTCAAAACTAGATTTAAAAAATGGATATTTTCACGTATTCGTTGGCGCAGATTCTGTGAAATATACATCATTTGTCACTCCCCTTGGACAATTCGAATTTTTAAGGATGCCCATGGGCATCAAGAACGCATCAGCAGTATTCCAGCGCTTTGTAAATAAGATTTTTTCGGATTTAATACTCGAAAATAAAGTCATCGTATATATGGATGACATATTGATAGCCAGCGCAAACATGGAAGATCATTTAATCGTATTAAAAGAAGTGTTCATAAGACTGGTTAACAACAAGTTAGAACTTCGTATGGACAAATGTGAGTTTATGCAATCCAGTATAAAGTACCTGGGATTTTCATTGATAAAAAAGGAATCAGAGCTGATGACAGGGGTATTGATGCTATTAAAATTTTCCAATTCCTGAAAAAGTACACAACGTCCAAAGTTTTTTAGGTTTATGTTCCTACTTTAGAAGATTTATAAAAGATTTCTCTACGTTAGCTAAGCCACTTTACGATATTTTAAAAAAAGACAAGGAATTTTTTTTTGAAGAAAGAGAGCTAAATTGTTTTTTAAACCTTAAGAAAAAACTTATAGAGGCACCGGTTTTAGCCATTTATAATCACAAAGACGATGTTGAATTGCATTGCGATGCAAGTTCTATGGGCTTTGGTGCGGTATTGGTGCAAAGAAAGGGAGATGGAAAACTCCATCCCGTGTTCTATTTTTCTAAGCGAAGCACTGAGACTGAAGCAAAGTATCACAGCTTTGAGCTGGAAACTCTGGCCATTATCTACGCCTTGCGTAGATTCCGAATCTATTTACAAGGCAGACATTTCAAAATAATAACCGATTGCAATTCTCTAACGCTTACTTTGAACAGAGTCGAACTAAATCCTAGAATCGCACGATGGGCACTTGAACTTCAAAATTATGATTATGAACTCATCCATAGATCCGGGACAAAAATGCAACACGTAGATGCTTTGAGCAGATGTAACATTTTAGTAGTAGAAACCACTAGTTTTGAAGACAATCTCTTAATCTGTCAATCAAAAGATTTAAAATACAAAAAATTAAAGAAGAACTAGAAAGAAGTCAGCACAAACTGTTCGAAATGAGAAATGGCGTTGTTTACAGGAAAACTAATGACGACCGTTTATTATTCTTCGTACCTGAAGAAATGGAAAGTCACGTTTTGCACAAATACCACAATGAGCTTGGACATATTGGCAGGGATAAAATGATAGAAGTGATTACGAGGGGTTATTGGTTTAAGAACATCAAAGAAAAATGCCAAAGTCACATAGAAAACTGCCTAAAATGTGTAGCATTTTCTCCAAACTCTGGAAAATCAGAAGGTTTCTTACATAGCATTCCAAAAGGGGATAAGCCTTTTGATTTGTTACACATCGACCATTATGGACCAGTTGCAGCAGGAAGAGCAAATAAACACATATTTTTAATAGTAGATGGGTTCACGAAATTTGTTAGATTATATACGTCAAAGACGACAAACACAAAAGAAGTTCTAAAAGCTTTAGCCGACTATTTCAGGTCGTACAGCAAACCGAAATGTATAGTTTCTGATAGAGGCAGTTGTTTCACATCTAATGAATTCACACAATTTGCAACGGAAAACAATATTAAACATTTGAAGATAGCGACAGGTTCCCCACAAGCAAATGGACAAGTGGAAAGCATAAACAGGACTATAGGACCAATGATAGCAAAGTTAACTGAACCTGAAAATGGAATACACTGGGATAATGTAATAGAGCAAGTTGAATTTACACTCAATAACACTATACACCGAAGTATTAAACAAGTTCCTAGCAAGATGCTCTTCGGCGAAGAGCAAAAAGTCAAATTATTGATGAGCTCAGGGAGAGATTGGAAGAAATCAACGATACAACACAGGTAGAAAGTTTAGAGGAAATCAGAAAACTAGCTGTAGATAATCAAAATCGAGCACAGGCGTATAACGAAACATATTATGATAAAACAAGGAAAAAGCCAAAGGATTATGCTATAGGAGATTATGTAATGGTTAAAAATTTTGACAGTACTACGGGAGTTGCTAGGAAGTTAATCCCAAAGAATAAGGGACCGTATGTAATAGCTAAAGTGCTTCGTAATGACAGGTTTTTGTTAAAGGATGTTGAAGGTTTTCAAGTTTCTCGGAATCCATACAAGGGTGTTTGGAGTGCTCAAAACATAAATCCTTGGATTGGAAAACGAACGAAGTCATAAAGAAACCATTATTCGATAAACTTACTTTAAGAAAACGAAGAATTAGTTACAAAAAATGTTTATCTCAAAAGAAACCTGAATCAGGGCATCCAGATGGTCAGGATGGCCGAATTGTAGTAGGCTAGCAGAGAGCCCAATGTATGTTAAGCCCATCTATGTTAAGCCAATGTATGTTCA